ATATAACTTAGAGGAAAAAAGCATTATTTTCCCTATAATAAAAAATTAAAATTTAAAAAAGAGTGATGAGGGAGTAGTATTTTGAAAACAAGGTAGTTGCTCTCTCTATCTCCCGCCAGAAAACTGTCTTCAAATCTGACCTCAGTCTCCGGTTGAACCATGAATCACAGTTGCTTGCTGATCAACTGCTCAACAACGCATACATACAATACCGTAAGTCTTTCTTCTTTCTTGCAATTATATATGTCTCCTCCATTATATTCCATTCCTCTGTTGGTTGAATTGTTTCATTACTTTAATTAAGGAAAACATACAATAATTCATAATAATATATATAATCCACAGCACAGATCGAGTACGTAGGTTTTGTTATCTGATAGATTGTGATGACACCACCGCCGTCTCTAAATCTAAAATCTAGAAAGAGGTTGAAGTCATCTGCGGCATCAGAGGGACAACAAGAAACAGATTGGGTTAAGAAAATGCAGATGTGTCCGGAATATAACCCCTCCCACCTTGAATTTCAGGATCCCTTTGCTTATCTGCACAAAATTGCCCCTGAGGCCTCAAAATACGGTACCTTTAATTTTTAAATATTAGACAAAATTTAACTTTTATTTATGTACAGATCGAATATAAGTGTCTTGTGTTGAATTTCAGGCATTTGTAAGGTTGTCTCCCCTCTGGATGCTTGTGTTCCAGCTGGAACAGTGCTCAACAAAGAGAACAAAATTTTTAAATTTAAGACGCAATTACAACCTCTGAGACTGGCTAAATGGGATAGTGATGACAGGATCATCTTCTACACTGGAGGAAGGTATTTAATATATTGAGGAGATCGAAGTGAAACATTTATATATAAGAATCATTATTTATATGGCATATGTGTTCATTCGTTCCAGAAAGTATACGCTTGATGGATTTGAGAAGATGGCTGGGAGGAAGACAGCTCGTAAATACGGCATCTCTGGATGTCTTCCTGCATCGCACCTGGAAAAACAATTCTGGGAAGAAATGAGTCGAGGAGGAAAGAAAGAAATGGTGGAGTATGGAATTAATATCGATGGCACTGCCTTCTCAAGTAGTGTCAATGATCCTCTTGGAGCCAGCAACTGGAACTTGAATGTACCTACAAATTCTTCATCATTAATTTATTATTAGCTAGATTCAAATGCTATATATATTGTGACTGCATGTCTTTTATATATATTGAGCATATAACCATTGATGTGCAATCTAACTATCAGCTTAGACTTTTAGTTCTTCTGTACCTGTTCTTGTTTCTCGATTTAATGGAGTTAGTTTATGCCTTTTGTCACTCTCTTTTCAGAAGCTTAAACAACTGCCTAGATCAATGTTCCGTTTGCTGGAAAATAATATTCCGGTAGGTAATAGATGAGATGATTATAAAAGTCCTTTAATTTATTGCCATTTTCTTTCATGTGTATGCATGAGCTTATCTTCTGATCTATTTTATTTTTTCAGGGATTGACAGATCCTATGCTTTACATAGGAATGCTCTTCAGTATGTTTGCATGGCATGTGGAGGATCATTATCTGTACAGGTACATAATGGCCCTGTTTGGTAAAATAATCAGATCAATTTTGGCTTTTTAATCACTATTAATTGTTTGACTTGGTTAAAAAATCAATAGAAGTGTTTGTTTAATTAGCTTTTTGCAACTCCAAAATGCTAAAATTCAAAAAGCTATTCAAATCAATTTTTTCAATTAGCTTTTTGAAAAAAAAAAAAAAAAATTATTACCGAACAACTATCAACTAACACCTAATTTACCAAACACCTTTCTACAATAGCTAATATTATCACTAGTTATAGCTTCTAATTAACCCAATCAGCTAACAGCTAACAGCTATCAGTTAATAGCCATTTCACCAAACAGGACAATATATATTCCGTGTGGCATAATATTATGTACGTGCATGATGTATGTATATATGTATGTATGTATGTGCAGTGTGAATTATCATCACTGTGGGGCGCCGAAAACCTGGTATGGAGTTCCTAGTGATGCAGCCCTTGCATTTGAGAGAGTTGCTGAGCAGTATGTGTATAAACCAGATATTCTATCAAGAGACGGAGAAGATGGAGCTTTTGAAATTCTGGCAGAGAAAACAACCATGTTTTCACCTGGGATTTTGCTGCAACACCACGTCCCGGTTTTCAAGGCTGTGCAAATGCCAGGAGAGTTTGTAATCACTTTCCCCAGGGCATATCATGCTGGATTCAGTCATGGTACGTTAGTTGCCTTTCCCTCTAATATTATATGCACAGTTGTAAAACTCGGGCTAGGCGTTCGTAGGCCGTTTCGCTTTTACTATTAGGACATCTTCAATAAGGAAATCTTCACTACATTTTAGAATAGTAAAATTCCCTTGAGATCAACTTTGACAAATGAAAAAGAAAAATCTTCACAACATTTTCCTCGTGCAACTCTAAGGGGGGTGTATTCAATCATGACTTTCATAGAGTTTTAAAGACTTTTATGAACTTTAAAAGTTTGGAGGTATTCAATTCAAACTTTTAGAGAGTCTTTAAAAGTCAGGCGGTATTCAATCAAGATTTTTAAAGAGTCTTTAAAAGTCGTGTGGTATTCGATTAAGACTTTTAAAGAGTCTTTAAAAGTCATGTGGTATTCAAAAAGTTATGAACTTTTGTAGACTTTTTAATTTTAAGACTTTTGAAGACTTTTGTAGACTTTTCCTTCTCAAATATAAATAGTTGAAATCCAACCATCAACCCCAAGATTTCAATTTTTCTTTCTAACAACTTTGAATGTTTTCTCTCTCTCTATTTAAACTCTATTTTTTCTCCCTATTTAAACTCTATAAACCTATCTAAATTCAATAAAATTATTTTTTTCTTCATTATCCTATATTTTCTTCATTATCAAGTCTTTTATTATAATTTTATTGTTCAATATTGTTATGAATTTCTAATGGAACAGTTTTTTTTTTTTTGTTGATGTTTATTAATAATATATATAAGCAATTAGCATATAAGTCTCAGCATATTATGAATAAAAATAATAATGTTGAGAATATTGATGTGGGTGAGAACTATATAATAAGAAGAATTTTATGATATATTATAAATGTTTTGTAAGAAAATTGTAAATGATAAGAATTAAAATCATTGAAAGTTTGTAAGGGTGTATTCAATTTAGAATTTCAATGATTTTTGTAGACTTTTTAAAATAAAAAAGTTGATAAAAGTCTATGAATGTTTTTTATATAGACTTTTATAGAGTCTTATAAAGTTTTAAAAAGTTTTGAACGACTCTATGAAAGTCCATCAAAGTTTATTAAAATCTATCATTTTAAAAGTCGTTAAAAGTCTACAAAATTCATGATTGAATACACCGCCCTAAGAATCATGTCAGAAAATTTTTAAAAAATAAAATAAAATAAATAGGCGTTTTTGAGTGGCCGCCAACTTATAAAATATATTTGGCCTTTGGCCGTTGCCAAGCAATGGCCAATTTTCCGGCCCATGCCGTGTCGTTGCAATTGCAACGACACAGCACACATTTTTTTGTTGTTAATAATTGTTTTTTTTTTTTTTGAGGAATTAATAATTGTTTTTTTATTTTAATTATAAGTTTGGAAATAAAAGCTTGTAATTTTTACTTATGTTCATTTACGTATGCAATTTATTTATGTTTATTATAAAATTATAAATTTATAAATCAAATAAATAAAGAAATAATTAAAATATGTAGATAAAATGGTAGGTCCACAAAAAGTTGTGAAAAAAGTTAAAAGTTAAAACTAATGGGAATAAGAGATTTTGTGATTAAGTGAGATAGTGGATGATGAGGTGGATATTGGGGCCCACAAACATCTGGGGTAAAATTCTCAACTATTAAGGATGCCCTTAGGCGTCCCAGGCCGTTCCGCTTTTACTATTAGACGCCCAAAAATCGACCGGGCGCCTAGGCGGCGAAATTGGTCAAAATTTATCAAAATCGGCCTAGTCGGCCAACTAGGCCGAGTCGGTCGATTTCTTCCGATTTTGACCGATTTCGTCTGGTCCAAGTGTCCAACCGTCTGTAGACTAGTTTGATACTTTGAATCTTTGGATGATTGAAGTATTTGAGTATTTTTATTTTTAATATTATTTTGATGTTATGACTTTATCATTATTTCATTTATTTGGATGTGTTATTTGATTGAATGTTAAAAACAACCTCATTAAAATTGTCAAAGTACAAGTCTCCCATTATTTTTTTGGCTGTATAAATAGTCTGAGCATTTTTAACCCTTAGAGCAACAAAACTATTAAACTCTATTAAAATTTTACTTAGTGCATGGATATTTTAAAATTTTATTATCTTTGTTCTTTATAACATCTGCAAAATAGAGGTTTGACAACCATCTTTCTGAAAATTTTCTTTTCAATTGTGGCACATCATCCTATATTTCTTTCCTACACGATCCTATTAAAATCATGTATTTTTTTTATTAATTTTACAATTGAAAATATTGAGACTAAATAAGAGTATAATTAAAGAAGAAATATTAAAAAGAACTAAAAAGAATAAAAATTGGTGCGCATAAAATTAAAAACAAACAAAAATACTCATGTACTAAGTATAATTTTAATAGAGTAATTATTTTGTTGCTCCGAGGTTTTAACTGTAACTTTTTTAAAGAGTTAGCTAGACATGTGTATATTGCAACAATAAAAAGTTAGGGACTAAAATTACTAATAAAGAACAATTGAGAGACTAAAATTATATTTTTCTCTACTCTCTCTCTCTCTCTCTCTCTCTATATATATATATATATATATATATATATATATATATATATATATATATATATATATATATATATATATATATATATATATATATATATATATATATATATATATATATAGGGAAGGGTTCAGGTGCGGGTATAGCTTCCCGTGCGATTGTGCGGTGAGATCTGAGCCGATGATCAAATTTAGATCAACGGCTCAAATCAATGAAAATTAAAAAAAAAAAACGCGTGTCTGGAAGAAAGAAGCATAAACTAAAAATGACGCACCTTAAGTGATAGAAACACGCACATTAAGTACAAAACCCACACACATTAAGCACAATCTCACGCACATTAAGCACAAAACCCATGCACTTTAAATATTAACTCACAGACTTTAAGTTTCAACAACTACTGACATTAAGCACAAACTCATGCACATTAAGTACAAAACTCACGCACATTAAGCACAACCTCACGCACATTAAGCACAAAACCCACGCACTTTAAGTATTAACTCATAGACTTTAAGTTTTAACAACTACTCACATTAAGCACAACCCCACGAACATTAAGCACAAACCTCACGCACTTTACGCACAAAACTCACGCACATTAATCACAGATCCGCTCACCTTAGTTTTGACCTAGATGCAAAAATTACAAAATTGTCACCGCCCTTTTTTTAAAAAAACTTTGGTAATCCTAGACGTTGATTTAAGCGAGATGAATGACCCAAATTAAATCGCACAATCGCACCTGGACATCCTAACCGCACCAGAACCTAATTCTATATATATATATATATATATATATATATATATATATATATATATATATATACCATGAATTGTGATAGATGTGTTTTAATTAGCTAGGCTTTAACTGCGGCGAGGCTGTGAACATTGCAAGCTGGGATTGGATTCCATTTGGTGCAGCGGCTTGCCATCGTTATGCTCTACTCAAAAGGACGCCCATTATTCCTTATGAGCAACTCCTATGCAAACAAGCAATGCTTCTTGCACACTACAACTCTACAGTAGAAGATATAGTGTGTGTGAAGTCTTCATTTGCGTGCCTATTGAGATTGTATGACTGTGCTTGCTGGTGTTTGAAGAGAGTGATAATGAAGCCATCATCCCTCACAATCCTTCCCAAGTCTCCCCACCAACTCGTCCTATGCGCCCTCTGCAAACGAGAATGCTATGTGGCTCACCTAATTCTCTCCTCCCAACAACGCACCACTGCTCCAATCTGCCTCTTTCATGGTATGCTATCACAAAACTTCCATCCATCAACATCACAATTGTTAGGATTAAGCCTTAAGTTTACCACTATGCCAAAAGCTATAGCTAATAGCGAAAACTCAACTTTATTTTTTTATAAATTGTCATAGCATTTTCGAGAGGCAAGGTACTGGACTTGCTCCTTCAAGTTTTGGCCCAACAATCCCCTAGCCACCAATGATCAATCATATTGTGTGGACCATGGTCCATACAAGTTGTGTGGATCATATTTTGTATACTGTAAAATAATGTATATTCAGTACAAAAGTAATGTACATTGTATTCATGAGATATACATTATTTTTGTACTGAGTAGTACATTATATTGAATAATGTACATTCGGTACAAAAATAATGTACATTTAGTATATTAAAAGTGTACTTCTTATTATGGTCCACATAACACTGTGTGGACCGTGGACCATGGTCCACATAATAATTTGCCACCAATGATGGACTTGGCCCTTTACGTGTCTTAGCCCAACAATCTCCTAGCCACCAAAAACTACATTTCCCGCCCTTTAAGTCATAGGGTAATTGTAGAATTCCTAGCTACGTGGCCTAATTGTTGGTCATGCTCACTTTTCGTTCCTAAGTTATCATTGGCGTTGCACTTTTTGTCCCTTTACTTACAAAACATTAAGAACGAAATTTGCAACTTTAATATAACTTAGGGATGAAAAGTTAATAAAAGGCCGAAAAGTATAACGCCAATGATAGCTTATTAGGTGCGAAAAGTGAGCACGACCAACACGTAGGGACGAATTTTACAATTATCTTATAATTTAGGGACAGAAAGTGTAATTTTTCCTTTTAATTAGTTTCTTTCTTGCTCATTCATTTCGATCATGATGCATGCTTAAAAGCTGCAGTAGAAGCATGCAGCTAATTTAATTTGTTATTCCATGCAATGCAATGCAGCAGACAATGAAATTTACAAGTGCAAATGTGAGAGTAGTGATGATAATACCCATACCCTCCTCTACCTTTACCTTAGAGAGGACATGTCACAACTGCTACTCACTGCAAACAAGTTTGAGGTTGATGATGATACAATACATCAACAAGTTGACCAACAAATCAATGCTCACTCCAGCTGGTTGCAAACCATACTATGTTTAACCATGGACAAATATGTTCCTTATTCTGAGGTATAGTATATATCCATACTCATCCCTCTATATATATACATATTAACTACATATATATTTACCACAGCATTATATTCAACAATATAATTAATGATTCTTTCCTAGGATCCATCTTTGCATTATTCAAGCCACCAGACCGGATATATATGAGCCATTGATGAGTCAACAATATTATATTATATACCTAGCTTAGCTTCTATTCATATTTCAATAGTTTTGTTTATTACCACGAGTTATCACATATTTGTCATTAAAAACATGGACAAATAATTAAGTTTTATCTGATGAGGATTATTTATATTTTTTTAAATGTTGCATGGATTACTAATATTCATGACATGTGTGGGGTGTACGTACAGGTGTACCATATTGAGAATGAGAATAAAAAGAAGAAGAAGCTAAGGAGGAGGTTGATGATTGATTAGCGTTTCCCATTAGGAAAAGAGAGCAACTTAACGTACACTTCTTTCATATTTTTCAATCCAAACAGTGTATAGTAGTCTAGCTAGGAATATACATACTGTAAACTAACTCTGATCTACAGGTATTATATATATTGTCCATTCATATTTCTATCTTTTGATGCTACCACAATAAATTCCTGTGTAGCCTAATGCAGTTAGTGGTAAATAACCTATCAACTATATATATACTACGGAGTACAATCTAACCACATGATATTAGGAAAATTAAATAAAGTGAGGAGATTTGTTACAATAAAATCCATCTTTTCTAAATTATCATTGGAAAAGTTGGACAAAATCCACTTTATTAAGAAAATGAGTATTATTGAATTGAAGCGACAATTGTGAACGATAAAATGAAAGAAATAGACCAGAAGCTTCAGGTTTCTAAGACGATCAGACAAAGTCGGGCTTTGTAATAATGAAATTAAAGGATTCATTGAATACATGGTGGCCCGAGCCACTTCTTCGAGTTTAGACTCTGTATAGTATGTACTAATATATGAATGGATATTGATAGAATAAGTGTTGAAAATAATTAATGTCAAAGAATTTAGGTGAATAAAGTAAAATCGGCGTGTGATGTACATTTGTTAGGTAATTGTAATTGTATGGTTCAAGCATAGGGAACATAACAATTCTATGTAATGCAAAATATGCCTTTAATTACTAAATCAACAAACTCGATAGGACTGAATTAATTACTGAAATCCTAATAACTTGTTTTCATAAAACATTGTACTGTTGTCTTATGGTTGTTGGTTGGGAGGTTAGTTATTGTTTTTTTTTTTTTTTTTTTTTTTGATGGTTGATGGGGGAGGGTATCAACGAATTAAGAAATAGAATTATCTTTTCTTCTTCAATGAATTATCTCAAATCTCTCTATCTTTTTCTGCAACTTCTCCCCTTTTCTCTTTCTGCATCAAGCTAGATTTCCATATCTATCCAAAATGGCTTGTGATATATTGAGCATTCCAATCACTACAGTTGCTAGTGAAAGTGCTTTTAGCATTGGCTCAAGAGTCTTGACAAAGTATAGATGTTTCCTTGACTCGGAAAATGTTCAAGCGCTCATTTGTACTCGCAATTGGTTGCTAGGATTTAATTCTGAAGGTATTAATGCATTATTATTATTATTTAATCGTTATTTAATAGTTAATACTTATTATATATACTTATAATTTCTAATGATTTATTGATTTATTTTATAAATTTATGTAGATGGTGGAGATCCTAGTATGGGTGAACTAATTATCAATTGAGAAGGGCAAAAGGCTTCTAATGTTCTTGGTGGATGAAGGTACTTTAGGAGTTTAGACTTTAGAGTTTAATTTTTTAAGATTTGTATATTTATTTATTGATTTATTATAATACTAATTTATTCTTTTTTTTTTTTTTTACAGTTATGAACTTATGAGTTAATGAGTTATGATGATTGATGATGCTATTGGGAAGATTTGTAATGGATTTATCATTTATAGACTTTTGAATTTAAATTATGTTTGAATGCTTGAATATTTTGGACTTTTGATTATGTGTGTCTTGCGATAGTGCGAAACTTGAACACTATAAATGTTTCATTAAAATTATGTTGAAAACTTGTAAGATTTGAATGTGAAATCATGGACAATTGGACATTTGGACATGAATGTTGTCATTGTTGTGTTGAAATTAGGAAGTATGCCATTCTAGATTTCTAGAGTTAAATTGTAATTTATTTATTATAAGTTATAACAAATTAACCATAAAATAAATAGATTGAAAAATTTGAAATAAGTGCAAATATTAAAAAAAAAAAAAAAAACGGGCTGACGGGTTGGCCCGTTTAGCCCGTCAGCCCGTAACCAACGAGCTGGGTTGGGATTTTCCCAGCCCGTATGAAAAACGGGCTGGCCCGTCCCGTCCCGTATTTTCTCAACCCGTGACGGGCCAGCCCGTATGGGACGGGCTGGCCCGTTTTGACAGCTCTAGTGTTGAGTTAAAGAGAAAGAGATACTAAAGCTTTAAAGTTCATATCCAGATTATAGAGACTTGAGCTGCTCAACTGCAAAGATTCAGATTCAAGAGCCAAGTTCTCTAGTTGGAGAAGAAGAAAAACCTTTTCTTCAAACTTGTAACCTCTACTCGGTAGTAGTAGAAAGAGACGGAGTAAACTCGGTGAAGAGTTGAAAAACCTAATTGATGAGTTCACGGCTGGCTTGGTGTTCAAAGCGTGAACGTTTATGGATTTTTGAACTAGAGATAGTGCAAAGAACCTTAGGGTTTAAGGAGAAGAATGGAGTAGACTGGTTATAGTCGAACCACTATAAAAATCTCTCTCTCGCTCTCTTTATTTATTTACTGCTTTCATTGCATAACTACAGCCAAACCTAAAGTTTGGTAAGACTAAAATAACTTGCAAAGAACTTCAAAAAGGGTTAACAAATGTTTCCCGTTGTGCATTCTAACCGAATAGTTAAAGTTACCTCTTGGTTACTTTAACCATTCGCAAAAGATTTCAAAACTATACAAGTCTATTCACCCCCCCCCCCCCCGCCCCCCTCTAGACATGTACCATGTACTGTAACCCTCACCCAGACCAACACTATATGAGGGTAATAAAGCTTGTGTTGCACAAATGATAAATGGGTATGTTTAAGAATATTTGACAGAGCAGATATAATGTCAAGATGCAATCCACGTGAGCTCTAGAAGAGTCACAAGATTATTATATAGAATGTTCACTCTAGTGACAATAATCTTGAAGATTGTACCATATCCCTTTTCTACACTTATCTTGGAACAATATTTTTTAGAAAGTGTAGGCGGCTTTGAAGATTGTTATCTTCGGGGGTAGTGACATTTACTTGAATCAATTATGAAGATTGGTTTTGAATCAATCTTGAAGATTGGGTCCTGTAGACAAACAACTGTACTCTTTTTCCTTTGGTTATGTTTTGATGTTGTTTTCTTCTTAATTAAAGGTTTTTTAAACGAGGTAGCTAGTGCAACACATGAATGCATAATATCATCATGTACTCTTTTCCTCAAATAGATTTTTTCCCACTAGGTTTTTCTATTGAGATTTTTAAAGAGGCATGGATATGATATAGTAATGTCCAATGGGGAGTGTTGTGAATAAATAATATATGTCAACATTACTATAGGTATTATACTTTGATAATACATCTTCATACTTTGTAGTATTGTAGTTATACTAGAACTCTGTATATCTTAGCTTGTATATATTATATGAAAGATGATTAATAAAATATCGATGATTCTCTCTGTATCTAATCTGTTAGGAATATAGCGGAATAATGCGGAAGCGAAGAATCGAAAATTGAGAATTTTAGAAGTTAAATAATAGAAATAAGGAAAATATATAAATGACAAAATAATAAATTGATGAATTGAGAAAATATAAAATATATATATTAAACTCTCAATAGAGAATTACAAGAAAAATCTATATATCTATGTACGTGAGAGAATGCAAAGGAAGGAAAGAAGAATTCAATATTGAATTGATGTGTGAATACAAAGCAACATCCTAAACTATTTATACATTCAAAAAGAGATAACCATGCATGTAAGTGGGAGAAATGCCGCAGTAGTAGCTCTGTGGATGATGGAATACGTGGGGGTTACTGCATGGTGGTGTCATGGATTTGAGGCACCAAATTTTATTTCCTAACAATCTCCACCTTGGATCAAATCCACAGTGGGAATTGACAACTGGAACAGTCAACTAAACTCAAGCACTACTTGAACTTAGCAATAGGAAGAGCTTCAGAATATCAGGATGGATCACCATCAACTTCCTATGCGACTGGAAGAGTATAAGAAACCTAGTTGGTTTCATCATCACTAGCATACCTAGTAGGTTTTTTAATTGTCCTCCTAGGACGATCCATAGCAATGGAATACTCTTGTTGTGGCCTCGACGAGAGGTGATCCATAGCAATGGAATACTCTTGTTGTGGCCTCGACGAGAGGTGTGGTGCTAGTAGATGCATCATCTTTGGTATTACCATCAGTGGTAGTAATACTATCAATAGGCCTGAACTCAAACTCCACCTTTCACCAGTACTCTGCGTCTCACCTGTACTGGGAACTTTTCCAGAAAAAAGTAGTGCATTTTCATCAAAAGTGATATCTCGACTCAGAATGACTTTCTGAGAATCAGGAGACCATAGACGATACCCTTTTAACTCAGAGGCATAATCAAGGAAAATGCATTTGATAGCTCTCGGGTTTAATTTACTCGTACTGGAATGAGCATAAGCAGGACATCCAAAAACTCTTAACACAGAGTAGTCAACAGGATTACCTGACCAAACTTCTTCTGGAATTTTGAAATCAAGGGATGAATGTGGAGATCTATTTACCAAATAGCAAGCAGTAGAAACGGCCTCGGCCCAAAAACCACGCCGTTTCCGTAACCCAGCATTAGAGAGCATACAACGAGCTCTTTCCAATAGAGTCATGTTCATACGTACGACAACATCTTTTTGCTGGGGTTTACCAGGCAAGGTCTTGTGCCTAGCGATTCCATTTGCCGCACTGAAGTCATTGAAATCTGACTCATAGAACTCCAAGCCATTATCTGTCATGATCTTCTTGACTTTTTTACCTGTCTGAGTCTCAACAAGTATTTTCCACTTTTTGAAAATTGAAAATGCCTGATTTTTGTGTTTTAGGAAATAGACCCAGACTTTACGAGAAAAGTCATCAATAATAGACATAAAATATCTACAGCCTCCCATAGACTGGAATTTAGTTGGTCCCCATAAATCGGAATGTATGTATTCCAATACATCTTTGGTACGGTGTGTAGCAGTAGAGAAACTAACCCTCTTTTGTTTCTCAAAAACACAATGCTCACAAAACTGTAATTTACCCGTACTTGAACCACTAAGGAGGTTTTTCTTGCTCAGGAGATGCATGTCTTTCTCACTCATATGCCCTAGACGCATATG